AGACCACAACTGAGCTCCAAGCAACTAGATTGCTAGGCAAATGGCCAGAGCCAATGAGCCATTGCTGATCATACTACCTAGAAGGTTTCTTGAGGCTAAGGATCTCTTGCTCTTTGAGGCGGTGCTGGAACCGTGCCAAGCATGCTTGGAGGCTGACCAAACCTGCAGCCTTGCGTGATAGCAAAAGCTCAGCTGGGTCACATAGTTGTCAATCAGGCTACCTGGTTGATCAACTTCTGCCAAAAGGTTCATCTCCTGAGAAAAATAAAGCATGTTTTTAAGCAGCATGGCAAAATGAACAGTGTTGTGAAATAGCGGTATGTGCGCCCGCTTGGAGTTCGGCATGTGCGCCCGTGGCTGAGCGGCAATCCGTCTGCTCCTGATTGGCAGGGGCCTTTTGGTTCCCGCCTTCTGCCTTGGTGGAGTGGTGATTACGGGCGACCTTCGCTTGAGCTGCACCTCCTCGGTAAACCATGCGAGACTCCGAGCGGCCTCGCACGGCGTGGGCGTCGCATCGCTGGGTCGGCGCTTGGCTTGGCTATCCGGCTGGCCGTCCTTCGTCGACGTAGAAGGGTCAGGTGTGGCTTGGACATATGAATGGCCGTCTAGCGTCGACGTAGAAGTACCCACCATGTGCTTGGCCAGCTCGAACCTAGGTGGCCAGACTTCACTGTCGTCCCCTAGCGCCACAGCACCCACGACAACGGGCTACTCCATCTGTGGAGGCATGCCCTGCAGAGGCGACGACGGAGGCAGGTCCGTCGTGCACTGGGAACCCGTCGCCAAAGAACTGGTGTCCACCACTAAAGCTTGAACCTCCTGAGAGACGGTTGCCGCAGCATGTAGGCACCCAGGCACTGGTGTGACCGCTAGTCGACTTACGACGAGCGAGGCGTCAAGCTCGTCCAGCATTGGGTCAACCGAGACGAGCCAAACGGGAGGCCCTGCGCCCTCGCATAGCACCTCCGCCAGCGGATCTGGCTCGAGGAAGCCACGTGCGGCAGTCGAAGCAGTGGCGTAGTCGGCAGGCGCACCCATGCTGATGTCCGTCGCCGGGACACCCCTGCGCCACCGGCCTCGTTTTCCGGCATCGACGGTTGCCAATGGCACACCCCACGACTCCCTACGCGGTCCCATCCGAGGTCGGTGGACTGCCGAGGGGTGCGTGTTGGGAGGTCGGTGTGTTGTCGACACGAGCTGAGCGGTGACGCAGGCCACCACCCTTCGGCGCTGACTTGGATCGCTTGCAGTCCCTCGCGAGGTGGTGGAATCCTTGGCAGCGCAGGCAATGGCGTGGCAATCGGTAGGTCGCTACTCGGTGCGAGTAGGAGAGGTAGTTGAAACATCTATCGCGGAGCTATGCTGGGATCTTCTGAGTTAATCCGCGTAGACCTAGGCCACAGTGAGGCTCAGCTGAGGCAGCCGCAGGTCCCGCTTCTTGTCAGGGTAGGATCTCCCGCCACCCGTCGACGTTGGGGCAAAGACCCATCTATGGGCGTCAAGGCATTGGCGGGCAGGGACCCGACCATCCACTGGATGAGCAGGCAAGCCGTGCACTAACTGGGGGCACGGCCGACTGTGCTTCCTCTGCCATCGCATAGGTCCCTGTCTAGCATCCGCTCCGCCGTGCCCTAGAACCACGACTGAACGAGTCTAGGCGCGCGTGGAGGATGCTGCGATTGGCTTCATAGGGCGACGAGCGGCCTCCTGGTAGGTTGTGGGGCAGTCGTCGTCGAACTCATCGCCATCGTCGTTAGCCCATCGACGGCGCTTCATGCGCCCTCTCGAAGATGGGTAGAACGGAGTCACGGCCAGTGAGAGCGTGGAGCTCGGCGGTGGTGGTGGGGACATAGAGGGAATCTACAGAGGTGCTCCAGAGCCGGATCCCGTGGGTCAGGCTCAATGGAGCTGCAGCTGGAGGTGGTGACCGTGGCGCAGTGGCCCGGTGCCATCGGCGGCGTGGACGAGGAGGGAGTCCACAGAGGCGCTCCAGCACTAGAGGTGGCTGCGGTGGGAGGGCGTGGAGTCGTTGGCGTTGGAGGCGGGCATCCCAGCACCGATCGCGGTGGCACGGTGGTGGGGCCCGGCATCGGCGACGGTTGGGGCGAACAAGGCGCTCCAGCGCCAGCTCCCATGTTGGTGGGGTCCGCTGGTCCAGGGAGGCTCCCATTAGAGGCGCCCGCCATCACAGGGGAGGTGGCCCACGGTGAGGTTGGGGTTGGCCGTGCAGTGGGACACCAGCGGAGGGGCCCGACGCGGGCGGCGGCGGCGGCCGTGTCGCGTGCTCACGCATGCCCGCGCACAGGAGAGGAGAGGAGGGGTGCGCGGATGCAGGGAGGTGGGGGAAGCCATCCACTGTGGTGGCAGCACGGGCCCCGCGGGCGGAGGCAGCCGCGCAGCCTCGGCGCCCGCGACTAGCAGCAAATCCGGCTGGTGGGGGCCGGGTTCGCCGGAAGGGGAGGGGACCACTGGCGGCGGCGGCGGGTTGGGGGCGGCGCGGGCCTGCGTCGCTGGCTGGACATGTGGGGCTCGAGGAGGGAGTAGGGGAGCGGGGAGAGGCGGGGGAGGGGGCCACCGGCGCCAAGATGGCGGTCGGCGGCGGGGGGTGGGTGGCGGCCGCCAGGGGTCGCCAACCCTAGGGGAGCCGACTCATCCTCTAAAAGGGAATACTATCTTTGTTTTTTTGAAAGAAAGCATGTATCTTTGTTTTGGTTGGAATGTGTATGTTGTGTTTCTACGATGATGACAGGGAATTCATGAGTGGCCGGCTCGAGTGTGCACGTGGTTTTTTTTCTTTTTCCTCGCACTTCAATATATTTGTATTTATTTGCTAACCGTATCGAACAAATGGTAGGCATGTATATATGGTTCTCATTGGAAATGCAGTAATGTACCCATTGTAAAATAATGTGCTCTCATTTCAGACTATATATCCCCTCATGTTTTACTTATGTATTAGGATCATGAGATTGTAAATGTTGTTTTACATATGATATTTTTGACATAACAAATTATGTACCTTTTGCGGGCTTTGAGCAGATACCACAAGGTACACATATTACATAGCAACTTTGTGGTAGCTCCCGTCAACAATATGAAGAGTAGTAAGTACCTCGTGGTATATGACCCAAAAAAACTTCATAAACCATACATATGTTGTTAGGTTGACATTTAAAAATTTGAGAATTTTTAATGATAATGGATTCTTCCTATGTGAAATATTATGCTTAGTGTACTAATTACCGTTTAGTTTATATTTAACATCAACGTGCCAAAATATCAACTTATCTTAATCGAATTGCACAGGTTACAACTGTGCTCATGGGTCATCACAAAAAGATAACTGGACTAGCATTTTCGCTATCAATGGAGGTGCTTGTATCTTCAGGTGCTGATGCTCAGGTGTGAATTCTAATATATATCAAAATTAGGACTAGCGATTTTGTTTTTGCTTATAAATTTAAGGGATGCTGAATTAAATGCAGCCAAATGTTATGTGTCGGTGTTTGCTGAATCGACCAGTAAATTTAGTGCCGCGCAGCTCTAGGAATCGATGAAAGCACTCAAGACATGGGGAGATTATACTGGTTCAGGCCGGATCCCTGCGTCCAATCTCAGAGAGGTTCGAGTTCGTGTTTCTCGGTTCAAGTGCTCAGCTAGCTTACAATGGGGGTGCTCGTAAGTGTGGCTTTAGAAGGGAGAGGACGAGAGAGAGAGAGAGAGAGAGAGAGAGAGAGAGAGAGAGAGAGAGAGAGAGCTAGAGAGAGTGTTTCCTTTTTTCCGTCCGCTAGAATGAAGGCCCGGTTCCCCTTATATGCTTCCATGGGTCGAGTGACAATTGAAAGAAAAGGGTTCCCCCGACCTGAGTGGTCGAGAGCCCGAGGGGAGGGCGGCGGTTGGCAAGCCCGGTCTGTGGGCCCTCTGCGTCTTGTCCCAGCTTATGTTGCGTGCTCGGATGTCGTCACGGGTTCCTGTTCTCCATGTCGCGGTATGGTGCGCCATAGCGGCACAGTGCGGGTCGTGGCTGTCCTCTTGTAGTCCTGAGGGATGTGGGCACATAGTGCGAGTCGTGGCCTTCGTCCTTGCGCCTACTTCCCCCGGGGGGCGTCATGCGCTAGTTTGAGTCTATAGCTGCCGTCCTCTGCTGACCGGCCACCCTCCTGATCATGAAGGGGGCGACGAGGCATCGTCCCCGACCACACGTAGGTGGTCGGGGGTCAACTTGTTTGGCCGGTTCCAAGGAGTCAAGTCCCTGGATGTGAGACCCGTGCTCTGTGGCGAGCGTGGCCATACACCTGCCCATCGAGTCGTGTTTGAGCGGTCCCGTGCCATATCCTGACATCGCCTGGCCACGAAGTGGCCTTTTGAATTGGTGGGGAAGCGGTCCGAGGGGTGATGCCTCACTCCAAGATCCTGTGGTCCGAAGGGTGGTCGATGCATCCTAAGGCCTCACGGTCCGTTGGGTGGTCATCGTCCTTTTGGTCTGAGTGGGTGTGCGGTACATGCGCGTCTCGTTGCGGCAGGCACATTGAATGCGCCAACCTCCCCCGGTCTTATCCATTGACGGTCAGCCGAGGCCCGGGGTGGTCGAGGTCGTGCCTCGTATCCCAACCCGACTGCGTGGTCGGGGGGAGCGAGTGGTTGAGGCGCTTGCGCGGATGATGGGTCTTATCCGTTGATGGCCAGCCTAGGCCCGGGGTGGTCGAGGTCGTGCCTCGTATCTCGACCCGACACTACGCGGATGATGGGTTGTGGCCTACTGGGCCACGAAGTGCGCTTTCCTCCGGCGTAAGCCGCGTTGTGGGGTAACCAGGGTATGCTCCCCCGACATTATGTTAGTAGCATTTCATACCATCCATTAGTCCATTTTCTAAAATATATAAAGATCTATAAATACACTCCACTTTCTAAAAGGTATAAATATCTAAAAATAGAGTATTGTTTCTTTCTGAATCATTCTTTTCTTGTTTTTTTTTTTTGCAATGAAATGAAATTTGCAGCTATGTGTTTGGAGCATTGATGGTTGGGAGAAGAAGAAATCAAGATACATCAAACATCCATCTAATGGTTCCGGTGCTTTAGTTGGTGATACAATGGTGCAGTTTCACTATGATGAAACGCATCTTTTCGTAGTTCATGAGAGTCAGTTGGCGATCTATGATTGGCAATTGGAATGCTTGTGCTCGGTAAGTCATTCACAACATTTTCATAACAATATATTTGCATCTCTTAGTAATCATATGTTGTCTTGTCTATTGAGTTGGAGTACTAACATATTACATGATTTACATCATGCTTGTCGAATGCTCCTAATCGTATAGATGCATTGTAATAAGCACATTACACATTGATATTTGACCTTCCATAACTTGATAATGCAGTGGTACCCAAGAGATGCACTCCCTGCTCCAATTTCAAGTGCGGTATACTCACTTGGTTGTTTGTTGGTCTATGCTGGATTTCGTGATGGTGCAATTGGAATATTCGAGGCAGAATCTCTTATGCTACAGTGCTGGATAGCACCCTCTGCCTACGTACCATCTTCAATATCCAGGTATGTGGAGTTTCAAGCAGTTTCTGTTTTTTTGTTTGAGTGGTACTTTCAATTCTGGTAACAAACGTCTTGTTTTCGTTGCCTCTCTGGTTTTCAGCGGCGGTGAAACTGTCTATCCCACGGTCGTCGCAACGCATCCTTGGAAGCCTAACCAAATTGCAGTGGGCATGAGCGATGGTGCAGTTTATGTGCTGGAGCCGTTGGATACAGACGACGGACAAATGGGGAGCGTCACCTCCTCAGAACAACGTCCACCTAGTAATGTCAGCAGTAGCGGTGGTGACAGCCAACCGAGTGTCTGATCAGCCGATGAGTTGACATGGCAATGCTTGCTTGACCTACGAGGATAGATTGAGTTAAATATTTTGCTTGGCCTCTAGACACATATTCAGTCAAACAGAACTTATTTTTTATGCACCCATCCAGTTATGTGTACACCATCCATCGTCAGATCTCCCTGAGATCTATATATCTCAGACTAGTGTTTTCAAGTCATTGAGGACTTCCTTATTTGTAATAAATATGCACGTTGCTAGTGGGTGAGACATTTCCCTCCCCATCTCTCTTCTTCTTTATTCAAAAAACATAATTGGATAGTGAGCAATGTATTTTCTTATCTTATTGTATTATATACAAAGACCTTGGGGACAATGCTGAGTATCAGCCTACCCAATTCTCCAGGCAAGTTGGCTTAGGTTGAATTGCAATTGCAATACTCTCGTTTGGTGAATCATGTGAGATTTCGACATGCATTGTAAAAACTCGTTTCAAGTGGAGAAAATTGTCCTTGGATAATATAGTATATAGAACATATATATGTGAGTTAGTTTGCATATCGTGACTTACTAAAATAATTATGAGAAAAGCATTCAGGTAAAGAAAAAATATAGAGGGAAATGAGAATGGCAAAATATTTTTTGTTATTTAGTCCTCTAAACGCACTATCATCATTCCTGAGTAGTTATCAATTTTTATAATTTGTAACGATGATCTTGTTTATCTTTAAATAATTATATGGTATATCTTCAAGCTAACATCAAATTCATTAGATTCAACCTAAACCTATTGATGCTTAGGACCTCCATGACCACTGCTAACCAAAAGACCCTAAACCTATTGAAGCTTAGGACCATGAAAAAACCCATGAGTTTCAACCTGATTTATACCTCATGTTGGAGACAAATGAGTGCCCTTCTAAACATTTGGAGTTTGTCCAGAAAAAAAAAATCATAAGAAAAGGTCAGTCTCAGAGAATGCTGACTGTCACTGTTACAAATAGGGAAGTTATTTATATACAACAGTTGGTGTTCCTTGTTTTCGGTCAAAAGAAATGAGGAAAAGGCCATTTCAAGGGCTTCACCATTCACACATCCTTTCCTTCCTCAATGCAAATAATATCAGTAATGAATATACAACAATGTATCAGTTTCCACAAAGACCCCACGGCAAAAATCAGACCCACTAATATCTCCAAACAACAGTTCCAATTCCTCATACAAAATTCGGAAAAGAAAGAAAGGCAAAGTGGGCAAGCCATACATCCACCAAAAAAAGCACACCCAAGCAGCCCCACTGCAAAAAGGACTATTACCAAACTGGTTATCAACCCTGACAAACCCAAAGTGTGCAGGTGATATCAACCAGGACCACGGCCTCAACATCACGACCGCCCTAAGCCACTCCCATGTGTCTTCTATCACTGCCTTGCTTGGGACTAGCATTTACTGAAGCGCACAGGTAGAAAACAACTGAGACCACAACTGAGCTCCAAGCAATCAGATTACCAGGCAAAAGGCCAGATTCATTGCTGATCATACTATCTGGAAGGTTTCTTGCGGCTAAGGATCTCTTGCTCTTTAAGGCGATGCTGGAACCGTGCCAAGCGTGCTTGGAGGCTGACCAAACCTGCAGCCTTGCGTGACAGCAAAAAGCTCAGTTGGGTCACATAGTTGTCAATCAGGCTACCTGGTTGATCAACTTCTGCCAAAAGGTTCATCTCCTGAGAAAAATAAAGCGTGTTTTAAGCAGCATGACAAAATGAACAGCGCTGTGAAATAGCGGTATTATCAACCAGTGACCTTAAAACAAAAGAACAAACAAGGAAGTCAAAAGCAAATAGACAGCTTAACGTTAATTCACAAAATATATGGTCCCCTCTTTATGATAACTGGACATGTATGTGCATATATGTGTACTAGCTAATCACATTTCTTCCTATGAACACACAAATATCATTATAATTAGGCGTATTATATAATTAAAAGAATCTATCAAGGTACGATTTGTCCATTGATTCTCTTACAATATAATATCAATTACTACAAAACTATGTTACTAAAAGGCATGTGAAATACTACCTCCGTCCCAAAAAGGATGCAATTCTAGGTCTGGTCAAAGTCAAACTATTTTAAGTTTGACGGAGTTCATAGAAAATATTAAAAATATTATTTTTATGACGCTTCTAATGATACTTAATTAGTATGATAATATTAGCATCTTTTTATATAAATTTGGTCAAACTTCAAATCATTTGACTAAGCACTATTCGCATCGGTTTTGGCATGGAGTACAAATCTATTGATATATCTTTTTGTCCACTAAACAAGTAAACATAGATAGATTTTAACTAATTGATGATCAAAGCTTACAGTCTGGCTTTTTCAAATTCTAATTCGCCATACATTCTGAAATGGAAGTGGTAGTATACAGTAAGATGACTTATTGTAGGTATACAGCTGTCAATCTAAGAACATTATCATGGACATTATTCAGTAGATTAAAACTTACTTCCCGCACGATCTCCATCGTATTCTCGATTTCCTTCCTGTGAGCTGCTATGAGGGCCTCCTCTTCCTAACATACAAAAGAAAGCTTAGAAACACATCTCGATGCAGGATAAAATCACACAGCATTTTCATGAATTGTCTTTACCTCAAGAATTGCATCAATTTCTACATCATCACAAGAACTTTCCTTTTCAGATTGCCTTGATGAAGCTGAAGCAGATGCTGGCCTTTGCTGCTGTTGCAGCTGCTTTGCCTGCTGCATCTTATACCCAGCCCGACCTGTCTCAGGACCATTATCCTTTTTCATGTAATTGCTCTGCCTATCAGATTTGTCTTCTCTATAAGCCTTTCTCCGAGGAGGTGAGACTTTTGTGACTTTCTCCTCCTCCTGTGTGTTTGCTGAATTCTGAACCAACTGTGCCTTACTAGTGTAAGCAGTTTGGCTGGACTTCAAATCATACCTCTCCCTGTCATTACCAGATGCTGCGCCGTTTTCTTCTCTCCCTCTATTAGAATAACTTGGAATCATACTAAAGGAATTTCTGTCAGGCTCCACAGAAGCGTTGGAGATCAAATTTTCAGTGCCCTTCCGGTAAGTATCAACTGGTCTCTTCTCTTGAATCTGATTAGGAACTTCTTCAGCTTCAGCAGGCAATGGATATGATGGAGCTGATGAAGACTCCCGGCTAGAAGTGGTAGTTGGTCCTGTGGACTGCTCTTTTCTTGTGTTTCCGCCCTTGGAGAGACTTTTGACCCTGTTATTATTTAATTCAAGTTAATGACAGGAAGCATTTTTGAAACAAACAAATCATGTATATCACTTGGATATAGCATTGTTACCTATCAGCGTATCTCAAGGTATTTAGTGTGTGTTCACATGAACCTGCGTTTGGAGAAATGCAAGAAATCATCACTGTCCTAGAGTTACCAACAAATGAGTCACGAAGAACCTCTGTAAGCTTGCTTCCTCTGAAAGGAATGTGTATCTGATCATTATCAAGAGCTCGAATGCATTCCTTGAGAGCTAACAGACTTTTATTTATCTCTGCTCCCTCAATCCTGATATATGATAACAAGTTGATGGTTAAAATAAGTGAGATGGCAAAGGAGCTTGAGAAATCAATAAAGGAGTGCAATTCTATAGAGACATAACCAACACCTTGTCTGTCTATCATTGTCGGTAGTATCAGCACCACGCTCACTTCCAGCAAGATCAATAAATGATATTTTCCCCACAGCCTTTGTATTTTTAGCTTCATTAGCATCACGATCTCTCTGTCTCCTGGTATCTTTTACAATGATGTGCTTCTTCACAGCAAGTTGCAGAATAGCATGTGACCTTGATGACTCCTCATTGGCCCCTGTTGACCCTGTGCTCCTGGCTGCATTTCCTCTTTCAATATATTCCTTGACGATCTGAACGTCAGAAACCTCAAATTCCTGTAGACCAACAATGCAAACTTGTTTCTTGCCATCTTCCCTCATCAGTAGTTGTCTATAAAACAAAGGATAGAACATTTCAGTTCAGGTAAAATAAGCTGGACAGAACATCCCAAAAACAATTTTTAGGCCCATATTTCAAACAAAAGTTAAATCTTCAAAATCCAAAAGGAAGTGCCATTGTTTCAGACATAAATATTTCCTTTCAGTAAATGATGAAAAATGTAGGTTACGTCAAAGGGAACTTTAATAGCGTTTCAAAAATCTGCAATGATGCTGTTTTACAAAGCATCAAGCTGCATTTCGGCCTAATATCCGAAAACATGGATTTCTCATCCAAACAAATAATGGTTCAAGGCTAACAATAGACTATGTATAGATGAAGAATAGATACTTTGAAGTAGAGACATGCTTCAACACTCGCACGATCGCACCAGAGATCATGAATACGAGCAACAAGCACACACATGCACAAGTTCACCCACACACAACCAGGAAGAAGGAAAAAAGACAATGTGATAGTGTGGTATTCAATACATCGGAATCATGAAGGTAGAAACGTATGCCATTTTTAAATATTTAAGCAGGTCACGTAACCAAAAAAAAAAAAATCCAAAACTAACCTTCTGTCAGATAGAAGATCAAAGAGTTTCCCACCATATATTTCAAAATAGCTAAGCCACAACTTAAAATTCTGATTCCGATAGACAGGTTGGTGCAATAGACGAACCATGTCTTGTGCAGCTCTCAGAGGCAGAGGCTGCATTGTGTATGTCTTGCCACTGCCTGTTCACGAATTCGACAGATGGTAGGTCAACAGAAACTATAAGAAACCACAATGCAATTATGCATAAAAATATACTCCCTCCGTTCCAAATTATAAGACGCTTTGATTTTTTGGTACATCCATTTTGCTGCAAAATGGATGTACCAAAAAAGTCAAAGCGTCTTATAATTTGGAACGGAGGGAGTATATTGATAACCCTGTAATAACAGAATGTATTATCTAACCTGTTTGGCCATAAGCAAAGCATGTTGCTTTTGTTCTCTGAAATATAATTGGAATTATGGGCTCAACTGTTTCACGGTAAACCTGTCCAGAAAATTCCATAAGGTTAACTGTAAATTAAATGATAATTATTTTGATCTTACACTCTCCTCCTTGTTCGAGAGAAAAAACAGATAAGAAAGAGCAACACCTCATCATTGGAAACATGTTCGTCGAGGACAGCATCGAAACAAAATTCATGCTTCTCCACATAGGCTGTCAGATCCACCTTTCAGTGGAAAGAATATGTTAGCAGACATCATAAAAGTAGGAAAAACAGGTCCAAAGAAGTACTCGTGAAATCTTAAGATTATGAATTCAAGTTTATCCTACAGCATTTCAGAATTATTTTAGAGCTGTTTTGGAAAACATATATATATATATATATAGCTGTGAAGGAAAACAAGCAGAATTTCAGTTAGTTTTGATGCTTTTTTTCTCGATAAACGTTCTAAAGGATTCTTTTAAGCACCACAGGTTCACTGCATAGGTTCATTAATAAGCTCAGGAATGTATAGCAGCAATGTTAAACCCAACATGATAGTCAACAGGAGACATTAAGTTACCACCAAATTAGAACATATTAAACCAAAATGGTCGCAAACTCTTCCTGCCCATTCCAAGGAACAGGCACGCCCCAACACAAATATATACACACAACACTGGAAAGCTACATGTCTACAGTACCCATACGGTAGCTATCTAGCATGGTAGGCATGGAATAGTATCAGTATTCCAGGTTTTGATACATAGTTATATGACTAGCAGCAAGAAAGTAACACGGTAAGCACACGAGTACATTGTTCATGGCCATGAAGTACCACCATAAAAGAGTTAAAGGAGTATCTCTACCTACGTTGACCATCTAATGCATCAAATGGACATTTAAGTGTAAAATGGTTGATTTCCATAACCATGAAAAGAATCTAAAGAAATGGTTGTAGCTTTATATAAGCACAACAAAACTTCCTGAAGATGAGTCGTAGATACCTTCAGCTTAGGCTCGTAGACTGTCAAACATGATGAATCCTGCACAGTTATGATGTCTTCTTCCTTACGAGATAGCTCCTTTCTGTTCAAAGGTCTTTTCCTTACCTGAAAATGTGAAGAACTAAGTCAGGTATGTCAAGTATTAACCAGATTCAAGCATATCACTGACTTGAACAAGATTAACATACCACTACTTTAATCTTTGCTACATTATTTTCTCTAGCAGTGCTCTCTTTTTCACTGGTCACCACACCATAATTATCTACTGGGGCTTGTTGACTCCCTAATATCACATCCTCATCATCATCATCGATATCCTTTGGCATAAAAGGTGATGGCCCAAATGGTTCCGATGCTACATCCTGCCAACAGAAAAATAATAAGCTTAAAGTAGACTGAATGAAGCCACTTCAGGAATCAATATGAAATACTGTTTTCGCACATAGATCATGCAATCGCGAATGTTTACAAGGCATACCTCAGACAGAAGCTCAGTATCATCCATAGCATGAAGGTCTAGAAGTCCAGCACCAAGTTCCCCTCTAAGTTCGGGTGAATAAAACCCCTCAACAGGGTTCGCACCACCAAAGCTCTGAGCCGTTGGCGTGTAAGGCTCAGACATTGATGTGGGTGCAGACTCTCCATTAAAATTTAGACCTCTTAGAAGCGTATAAAGCCTCTGCTTTTCCTCAGTCGACTCTGGCCCATAGCCCTATGAAACAATAATAGTAATGATGATCATCATTTATGCAATTGCACATGGTATGAGAGTATATTCATATGTAAACATCCTATCACTAGGAAAACCATAATACTTTTATGTAGTGGTAAGCAATACTTGAAGGAAACAGTGTTAGAAGAAAACAGAAGAATTTATTTAGTTACATCACACAAACAAACAAGAGTCTAAATAAGGCACCTCAGATATATGCATATGTGTTGAAAGTTAGTTTCTAGTTTTAACTTGGTGCTCCCAGTCAACACAACTACACAAGAATCATACTAGATTCAAGTTAGTAGGGTTTCCTGGATGCCTCAACTTCCAAGAAAACCAAAATGATTTTTGATGTCACCATGCATGGTTGGTGGTCACAATATGTCCATGATCATTTCTTGCTGCAGTCGGTACAAGTTGCCTTTTATCTGAACTATGCTATTTCTAATATAACAAAGAATAAACACATGAATTAAATCGTCTGTTATTGATTTTGTCAGACTATTTTCCCCATAGGAGTATGGTATTCAAAGGCATTCCAAAAGAAATGGTAATCAACAATCAAAATACCACCTAAAGGAAAGCATAAAGAACAAAAATTAAGTCCTCGATTCCATTCTAACGATTCTCTTTCCAAACTCCATATAAAAATACAGAAAAGTTTACACAATGGATAAAGATGTTTATATTTACAGATGGCTATCAGTTAGACAATGTGGGTTTGCCCGTGAATTAATGGGCAGGGCATTTCATACAGCTCATCACAATCCTAGATTAATAAGGCGTGAAAAAGCCTAGAAAAAGATTGTAGATTCTAATCATGCTGACGTAGCCCGAACAGCCTGACGACAAACCAGTTATTCATGAAGCCAGGCTGAACCCGATCGATTCCGTGCAAAGCAACAACCCCTAAAGCGAGTCGCGGGATTCCAACGCCTCATATCAACAGCAACCCGATCCGGAACACGCGGCACCGGAACGCGCCGAAGACGGCCACCATCACGATCCGCATTCCAACATATAGAGCACGCATTCATCTCCCGGGAGAAGCGAGAGGAACCTCACCTGCATCAGCAGGCTCGACAGCATGCTCCCCGCGCCAGCGCCGCCAAGCCCAGGCATCCCACCGCGGTAGTCGGCGACGCCAGCGCCGGCGGCGGAGGAGGCCGCGGCGAGGTGCTGCAGCCCCGCGGACTGCAGCCAGCGCGCCATGACGGCGTCGCCCGAGTCGCCGCCCATCGCGGCCTGCGCGCCGGAGGCGGCTCCGGGCGGCCCCGCGGCTGCGGCGGCGGCGGAGCTCGCGCCGCCGCCGGCGAGGCGCTGCGACCTCCGCTGGGGCGCCAACTTGGCGCCTGGGGGGGGAGGGGGATCACGCGCGTCCCGGGGCGTCGCGGGCGGCGGGGGATCCGGCGGCGGATCCCAGATCTGCGCGGGCGGGTCGGGAATGCGGGCGCCGGATTTGAGGAGGGCGAATTGGGAATGGGAATTGTGGGGGAGAGGAAGAGGAAGAAGAGAGTTGGGAGGGGGCCTATGCGGGTGGCTGGCTGTCTTCGCTTTTTTATTTTTTCCTCGCTCCAAAATGGATTCGCTGGTGAGAGAGAGATCCACTTCACCCATAAAACTTTTTTTTTTTAGACTTTCTGTGAACAGCGATGTGTGTGTGTGTGTGTGTGTGTGTATTTACATGTGTGGGTTTGGGGTGTGCAGAGATCCACTTCACCCATGAAACTTTTTTTTTTTTAGACTTTAACTCTATGAACAGTTTTATCGGTGGAGTTGTAGCCGTTTTGGTAAATCGTTTGGCAAAATAACTTCGCATATAGTTTTACTTAAAATATGCTCTCAGAGAACGCCATGTAGAATGAGGTGAAGCCGAGAAAAGCCACTATTTTTGGCTCATTACCACGCCAAAGCTCTGTGAGAGCACGCTTTTTAGAAACTTTATCAATGGAACTGTTGTTTTTTACCCCGCTTTAGCGGAAAATAGACTCCAAGAGAAAACTCACCAAACGGGGCCTAAAAGAGTGGCAAAAGGTGACTGCCAAATGGTTTTCCAATTTTTCGCGAGCGAAAAAAAGGGTGTTGCTTTGTTTCGAATTTTATTGCGGATTTTTGTGTTTGAAAAGGACTTTTGGTTTTTTTTTTTGGTGGGGGGAGGGGGGAGGACTTGTTTGTGCGTTTTCGGGGAGAGGATGGCCGGCTTGTTTTTTATTTTATTTTATTTTTCTCAGCTCAACATGTTGTGTGTCATTAGTGGTTTGGTAATTACAGTCGTAACAGAAGTGACATGAGGTATCACGTATTATATCGTTGTTAGCTACTCCTGCGTACTAGCACAACTGCACAAGTGGCGGAGGGTGGGTTAGAAGGGCATTTTTTTACACGGCCTTGCACGTACCACCAATCAAAGGATACCCGTTGAACTATTTCCTCTTTTCTGTTTGCGATGTGAGCATGTAACCCAGGATTTAAACCTATCAAAAATGTTACCAATATTGGGTCGCAGAAGTTATGATATCAATCCATGGCACCTATATTGGGCCAAGAGGAGGAATAAAAGGACTATGACAAAAAGTATCCAAAGGTATGGTCGAAGTGTTAAGCATGTTCACATTCGTAGCCCAAGGAAGCATGTGAATAGTATCATCTTTCCGTCGACACGCTCAGTATATTTGCTAATAAGATTGATGGTCGAATTGTTGGTCCATAAGCACATTATCACTCGAGAGGTTTCAGTTCTTTTTTTCTAAGTTGTCGGGATAAAAGGAGGAACTGGTAGTGCCAATTATCCACTCGTCTTGTGATGAACAACAATAGAAGAACTTCAGCAAACAGACTAGCAACGGAAATAACAATTATCTCCACAATTGACATGACATGATTATTTAAAACCCTCCTCAAGGTGAGGAGTAAAACACCATGAGACTAGCTATTCTAGTGATGACGACAACCTTGCCAAGGGAAAAACTATATGGGCGCATTTGGACCATCGGTTTGGCCTCCTAAATGCTTTCCAGATTTGCTCCCTTCAATTCAGCTTAAAGTGAGGTGGTCGTCTCTGATGTGCCCGGGTTGGCGTGTTTCTCACCGCCTTTAGTCCCCATTTCCATTGTGCTCCATCACTAAGAATGGCTTTGGATCAGCGTAGCTATGAGGGGTGGCATGGATGCACAATAATCGTAGTGTGTCGGCGAGTATGTTGTTCGATGGTAGCGTTCTTTTGTGGTTGATGGTTGTCTTATAGGTTGTGTCTTGGCTTGTCCCTGATATGTACTGAGTTGTGCTGTACCCTCTCCCCCAATGTTCTTCCTTCGTTCCTATTGTACCCCATCTCCGCTCCCCAGTATGCCGGGCGTATTTTGTACTGCCAGTGCTTTGGACACTTCGTTCAATATTAAAGTAGGTGGGGCTCTGCCCCCCCCCAATTGATAAGAAAAAAATATGTTTCAACTTGAACATCTTCACGTTAGGGACTTAGTTAGCATTTCAAAACATTTTTCAAAGCATGTTCACTTACTTCCTCACCATGTCACTAGGTCCAATGCATATGCAAAGTTAGTTCAAACTTGGTGGCACTAGACAACCGTCTTTGCTTTAGTATTCTCCATGTTAATAGTACAACTATCTATTCTAAACTAGACCATGCACTTTATTGCATCTCGGTTGGCGAAATAAAAACCTCTAGCTTATACCTTTGCCTTTGAGCTTGTTTTCATCTCCTCTCCTTCTCCAAGTGTGAGCCTTAGCTTTGTATGTGGCTTGATCATCTCCACTATCTCCTACCCTTACTCATCACTCCATGTTGACCCTAGCTCAATCACAACCCATCGAAAGCATTAGTCCATTAGTTGTCAGTCAGTTACCAAAACCAAACATAAAAAGCCCCTTAAGTCACGTACGGGATAGGGTACCTTGGGGTCCTACATATAAATACCCCTAACAGCCCCACTTTGAACTTGGGTTTGCATGTAAACTTTAGCTATTGTTACTTTCTTGTAACTTTAGTTATTGTTACTTTCTTGTAAATGCATGTTTCGACTAGACCATCTATTCTACTTTATTCATAACCCTAGCATAGAGTGTACCAGATTCATCCTATTGCAAAGTCCATGAATTGTTTGGTTGTCAACTTGTTCTTTGATTGCTAGCAAGTTCAAGGTTGTTATTGACATGTCAAGAACATCAATAATATGAACTCGATGTACTGGTTACATTAGTGTAGCACCCATGTGGTTGTTCTATGAGGAAATAAGAGGGGAGGATGAAGAGGTAATTCATATCCCTGTGTTGGTGTGGGGTGGTTGAAATGATCTTTGGATGGCTAGAGGGGGATGAATATGCCAATTTTAAAAGTCTTGCAAACACAAAAAAAACTAGGCAAAAGAGAGAGACCAAAATGAGGCCCTAATAGTTCTACCTCTAGCTATTATTTTGCAAGCCTAGGGTGAAAGCAACCTACACAATTCTAGCGATCAAGATAGAGATTGAGCTATGTCACTATAATTAAACAAACTATCTAGGTTTGCTTTCTAGGATGACAATGCCTAACAGTTCTACTGTGAAATGAATCAACCCAATGTAATCCACAAGAGTAGAGTAAACAAGCAATACCACAAGAAGGATGACACAAGATATACGCCATGGTTCGGTGACTTGCCAGTCACCTATGTCCACATTGAGGCAAGCCCAAGGATCGTCACTCCTATATCGCATATACAACCCTCAAAAGGTTGGCTCTGACGTGAGCACTTGATCTTGAACCAGCTCGATCACAAGGTGTTATCCAAGTTTCGATTCCTCTAGAGTGGTTCTTTGCCTTCGGTGGGGATCATGCTAATAGCCCCTCACAATCACTTTCGGAGCACCCCATAATCTTCAATTGAGTGCTTCAATGGAGTACTGTTGTTTCAAGCCATCTAGGTGGCGACAACCACCAAGAGTAACAAGCAAAAACACAACAAACTTTATCTCTCATGCCAGTCGATGCAATCTCTCAAAGCAATTACACTAAGATCACTCTAATCTCACCAAGAATGCAATCACTATCAAGCAAATGTGATGGGTGTTTCATAACCAGCCTCTAATGTGCCTGAGTATCAGCAAGGGGGTTCAAGAATTATGCTAAGCCTTTTATAGTCCCCCACACAAAACTAATCGTTGGTATGTGAGTAGTAGGTTGTGGGTTCAAGTCTTGAGAAACATATAGTTTTTTTAGTTTTCTATAAACCATTTACAGAGGCAATTAATAGAGTCATTTGTTAGAGGTGATCAACAGTATTGTCTCCTTTGTCTCATAGTCTATGTGTCATGCCATCATTTTTACTGATGTGTCACATCATTAAATGCAAATGAAACTCATAGAGGGACAACATTATTTACTCATGATCATCGCATCGGTGCATTAGGGGGACTCAGTTAGGGCTTATTTGAATCACTGGACTAAAGTTTAGTCTGTCGTTGGATAATAGGCTAAGCATGGACTAATTAAAATTTATTTTTCTAATGAGTTCTACTCATCAATTAGCCTCTATTAGTTTTTGTTAGACCATGATTAGTTAATATGAAGGTCTTCTATTTGGCATTCAAAACATGGAGTAAACTTTTGTTTAGTCCATCCAAACATGACCTTAGTCGCCCACTTGGCCTCCGTGTAGTGCCCTCTTCTGTCTTGATCACGATTTGTCGTTCCTTATAGGCAGCCACCACTCGATCGCCTTGGCCTGGGAAATGTAGAATACCAAATGACATTGACACGGGGAGACTCCAAGATGAAAGTGCATCTAACCCTTTAGTAGGTTTTGGTTGATTGAATGACAACACAATTAAAGATCTAACAAGTTTGCTAAGTGTTGAATATGAAATTGAGTATATTGTATACACTTGATGAGAAAGGTATAAAAGGTTCAACAAGAAAGCAACCTTGATGGTATTCTACATTGTGTTCAAGTAAAGGCCAAAATTGTGTATTGTTGTATTGGAAGATTATAGAAACAATCTAGTTCAAGCAAAATACAACAATGTAGATACATTTGAGGAAGTGGCTTCTATGTTGTGGGATATCATAGATTCATGTGAAAGCAAGTATATTTGGCAAATGGCAAATGAGACATGAGTTGATGAAAATAGATTAGTCTCATAGGAGGCTTGCTTTGCATGGACAAGAAGAGTTTGATAGTGGATTGACTTTGATCAAGTATTCAAGAAGTAGTCAAGATTGCATAGGTGATGATATGTCAAGC